GCTCTTCCCTTCTCCTCCTTTGTTTAATGAATTCCTACTCATTCTTTAGGTCCCAGTGTTGATGGTACTTCCTCTGGAAAGTCTTCCGTAACCACGAAATCTGGTTTAGGTGTCCCATCCTCAGTGTTCTGTAGCTCCCTATCATATATCATGATCCTACCTTCATATTTTATTTTATGTGTCTGATCCCTCAGGAGACTATAAGGTTCCTGAAGGAAAGCCCATGTCTATGTTCTCTATTATAGTCTCAGCATCAGGCACCCCATAACAATCCATTAAATAAATAAATAAGGTGTAATGAAATCAAAACAGGAAGCCTGAGGCAGTTACTTGCAGTGATCATTTCAACCACTAGATGACATGCCACAATGACATGCTGATTGGAATGGGCTGGGAGTGGGGGTAAAATGGAAGGATGAGCTAGCTGATGGGGAGGCCAGACTCCCCAGTGGCTTCCAGTCTTCTCCAGACTAAGATCTGGAGACCTTCATGAGCCCTAAACCTGTGTTTGGAAAACTTTGCTCGGGTCATGCCTTCCTGCAGAATCCCATCTCCAACAAGGGTTACATGTTTTGTGTGTGTGTGTGTGTGTGTGTGTGTGTGTGTGTGTGTAAAATTAGTTCTCCTCTATTTTTATTTATTTCTTTTAATAATTAAAAAAATGTTGCTACTTAGGCTTTCTCTAGTTGCGGTGAGCAGGGACTACTGTTTGTTGTGGTGTGAGGGCTTCTCATTGTGGTGACTCCTCTTGTTGTGGAGCACGGCTATGGGCGCACGGGCTTCAGTAGCTGCGGCAGGCACTCAGGCTCAGCAGTCGTGGCTCACAGGCCCTAGAACCCTCAGGTCTCAGTACTTGTGGAGCTTGGGCTTAGTTTTCCTCAGTATGTGGAATCCTCCCAGACCAGGGATCAAACCTGTGTCCTCTGCATTGGCAGATGGATTCCTATCCACTGTACCACCAGGGAAGTCTTTGATCTTCCATTTAAACAAGACAGGACAGTTCTCAGATACAGAGTCTTCTGTGGGAAGGGTTACATCTCTGTGCTACACATCAAATGCTTTTTCAGCTTCTCAAAATTTCTTCTTTTGCTCATCAAAGAGTTGTTTTTTGTTGCTGTTGCTATTGCCATTGATCACTTGTAATGGTTTTATAAATAGCTTTTAAAAAAAATTATTGTTTAGAGAAAAAGGTGAATTTGTCAGTTTTAGGATCTGAACTCCTACTGGTTCCAATCTCCTGTTCTGAATTTAGCCAAAACTTCTGCTTTCTGGCTTAAGAAACAATGGGATGTTTACTTCTTTTAATCCTCCCTTCTATCACCAAGACATTTTGGCTTATTTTTCAAGAAACCACATTTTATAAAAAGTCAAAAGTTTTTTTTTTTTTTTTTACATAACCTCCTGAGAATTCCAGGGTATATGACATGTGACAACAACAAAGCAATGTTGAAATGTAGCCTCTGGGCAGCAGGCTGGGCTTGCTTACTGTTAATATTTCCAGGACACCAGCCTCCTGGAACTATGATTTAAATTTGGGCACAACAAAATGATACCAGTGCATGCCATGAGAATTCTGGTTCACTTTGAAATAATTAAAACCAAAATTTAAATTGAGCCATGTCAAGAATTTAGAATCCCAAGCTGATGACTAGCTCATCTGCCCATAAGCCCCCAACCTCCCCACACTATTATTATAATGCTGACATCACTTGGAGAATGTTTTTCCCTGGAAAGTAATGAGAACCCCAGTTTGGCAGAAATTCAGTCACCTGGAGCGTTTCAGAAGTCTGGAATGAGTATTGGCCTAATGGAGTTAATTCTTCACTACCCTGTTGATGTTCACATGACTGTGTTAACTTTCCTGAGTCTTTGCTTTCTTATCTCTCTGGTGGAGGCAGCAAGACGGCCAGGCCCGGGCTGGGAGAAGTGGTTCGAGCCTCCTCTTTGTCTACATATTTGACTTGGAGCTGGTTCCTGATCAGTACAGCCACAGGAGCAGTTACAAAGGCCCCTGGCAATCTGGCCTTTCCCGGACTTCCCCGCTCATGCCAATCGCTGACTGTTATAACCTTCATATCTGAACAGGTTGGGAATTCTTTAGAAATGGCCTTATTTGTCCTTCCTACAATCCAGCCAGGACAGCAGCCATAAGAATGGCCTTGTGTTTCCTTGAGCTGCTGATTGGCAGGTGTGGACAACAAGAGCTGATTCGTCCTGGGCTTTGCGCTGAGACTGCCCAAAGTGGCACACAGGTAGTAGGGGCCAGGCTAGGGCCCAGGGCTCCTGGCAGCCCAGCAGTGCCTTTGCCCTCCCCGGGCTGTTTCCAGGTGCTCTGTGTGTGTATGTGTTTGGGGGTTGAGATGAATCACAATCATAGTCCTCTCTCAATGAGAATGTCATAGGTGGCCACCAAAGTGGATTCAGTGCTGGGCTCACTGTTATTGGCCAGGGGAGTGGGGTTTGGAACCAGAGGAAAAGAGACCCATTCTCTGGCCTCAGAGATCTTGGTGTCAATAAATAAGAAAATAATATAAAGCAAGGCTGTTTATAACTCCAGTGTGAGCTGGGGTCATGTATCCTTTGAGATAAAATACCATTGACTGCAGCCCTATTCCTCCTCAGTGGGAAGGCTGATGCCCTCCTAAGGTTTCTGCAAGTCCCCAGGGTAGTTGTCTTCCCTGGGTTCCTGCTCTCTCTGAGCCTGTTTGATTTCAGGGTGACTGGACCCATCTTTCCTTGTTTGCCCCCTAAACTGTCCCTCCAGGGATCTGAGGGCTGAAAGTCTGGTAGTCGATAAGGCAGCAAGGGCAACTTAACCGCTGGCCAGCCCTGGGCCTGGAGGCCCTTAGGTCACCCACCCTGAGATCTCCTCTCTGGCCACCCCCATTCACAGACCCTAGAACCACATTTGAATGTTTGGTCCCTTGCCCTTAGAGTTCACTTTTACACCTGTTGGGGCTTCCCTAGGAATACAGTTTCTATCACTGTGTCATTAGGAACAATGGATTCTCTACCTCTATGCAGGCTGATCTCCTCAAACATTCAAATTCATTAATGTGGCATGCTAAAGAAAGGCCACCTGCTTTTTAAATTTTGTTGATGTTGTTGTTCAGTCACCAAGTAGTATCTGACTCTTTGAGACCCAATGAACTGCAGCACACCAGGCTTTCCTGTCCCTTACCATCTCCTGGAGTTTGCCCAAGTTCTTGTCCATGAATTTTGTACCATGTGCAAATTGTTATTTATTTCCAAAAAACCAAGTAACATTTTGAGCGAGACTTTCTTCTTAGAATTCACCTTTACTGCAAAGGAAAACCAAAAATGGCGTTGTGATCTGAGCCTGTTGTCTCTGTCTCCCACTAGCCTCTCCAATGAAATCATTAGAAATTTATTCTTCCACTGATGGAAATCATGCGTTTCCTCTTAAAAAACAGAAGTCATTCCCATGAGTGTGAGTTTTAAATGACATCTGTTTCTCAAACTGCTCCTTTTAATAATATGTCTCATTCATTCATTCAACAAAGGAAATGCTAGGGGTTCTATAGAAGGTAAATTTTGTCTGGGCTAGAGCTGTAAGGGTGGCTTCCTGGGAATTGACCTGGAATATCAAGGCTGCGAGAAGGAGAACTTAGGTGAAGACAAAGGCAGGGCAGGTAGAAAATGGGAGTGGGGATTGACAGGTGCAGGGGTTTAATAATAACCTCCTACTCATTCAACGAGCATTTACGTGACTCCACATAGTTCAGAACCTTTGCTAGACTCTGGGCTAGAGAGGCAAACAGACACAGGTGATTCCAATAGAGCATGAGCTCAGGGCAGCCAGGGGAGAAACACCCGGTCATCAAAGGGGCGCGGTCTGCCTGGAGGGAGACCAGGAGCAGCGGCCTCGAGAGAGTGAGGTTGAAATGGAGATGGGAAGAATGTGTGGGTGAAGCAGAGGGAATGTTGTTTATGAAATTCCCAAGTCAAGGAAGAGACTGGTAAGGAAATGAAGAAGTCCAACATGGTGAATTCCTAGAACTGGGGGAGGGAAGCGGGGAGGAGTAAGGGAGGAAGGACCTGATCCTGAGGGCAGTGGGAGACACAAAGTGGTTTTTATCAGGGAAGTAGCACAACAGGTCTGGCAGAGCTTTAGAAAGGTCCATAGGCTGGCTTGGCGGGCAGATTGAAGTGGAAAGTCTGAGAAGCAAAAGAGTGTGTTTCGAAAGGGGTTGAAGCACTCCTGCCAAGCTCTGGCCCCTGGCAAGGGTATGGGTGAGAGAAGAGATGTTGTGCTAGGACACCAGTAGGCAGGGATGGGGCCTAGGACAGAGCTCACACTGAGGAGGCAGAGAGAGAAAAGGATTTGCAAAGATGGCCTCCCAGACAGGTCAGGGTGGCTGGGGGTGGCACTCGGGAGAAATAAATTGAGGGGCGCCAAGGCAAGGGAGCCACTTCCCTTCCCCCAAGAAGGGGCACTGCACCACGGACTTTCCCTGGGGCAAGACAAGTGCTCCCGGTGGCCAGCGTTCAGGACAGGCACGGCCTAGTGTTTGTTGGCTCACATGGCGAGAAAGTTCATCACTTTCTCAATTCTCCCTCATCCTTCCAGGAGAAAGCCTCAGTTGGGAGCTAGCCTGTCTTTAACACCTCTGACACTTGCTGTGCTCCCAGTTTTACAAAGAGAGAGCAGACCTCGGGCTCAGAGCCTTCAGCCGGCCACAGAGTCTAGCTGGGGTTTGCTAACATTTCCTTGCATTTGTATTTACGGCTGCCTTCCTTTTACGGTAAGTAAAACCAGATTTCTAGTTAGAACAGTGATAGCAAGCTTTGTTTTTAAACAAAGGCGTTTAAGCCAAAGGGGAAAAGCAGGCAGCTTTGAGAAATATATTAATCAGGGTATACAGGTGATACAGGGATTAGCCAAAAATCAGACGAAGGACTTGAGTGACGGAGGTCGGGAAACACTGTGATGATAAAAAGAGTGCTGGGTTTAGAACCATGGAATCAGGTGTCGGCAAATGACCTGCTCTGCTTCTGAAAGTGGGGATGAGAGCCTCTGTCCTCCCCCTCCCAGGTGTCGTGTGGATTGCTTAACATCACATCTTGGAGAGGAAAAACGTTCCAGGACTCCACGGTGCAGGCCAATGGGGGCTGGCTCTCGGGACAGTCCTCTTGTCAGGCTCAGAAAAGGTGGTGACCTCTGCCCTGTTCCTCCCACTGGGTCTCGTCTGGGAAGGTAGGAGTTAGAGGTGTGAACTGCGGTTGAATACCGTTTTATTTCAGGGACCTCTTTGGCTCTTCAAAGAAACTAATCTGGGGGAAAAAAAATAATATCCCTCAAATAAAACACTTAAGATCAGTTGTCCAAAGACTATCAGGTAGACTTTACTATCCTGAAGGGATGTCTGAAACTTGAGCCACAGGGAGGATTTGAAGGCAAAGCTGTATCTGGTGTGGTCTCTGGGCAGTCCCCAGGCATTGAGGGCAGGGTGACTCGAGTGTGGGTCAACGAGAGGAAACGGCTCCTCTGGGACCTGGAAATTGGTGGTGTTGCAAGACAGGGAAGTCTGTGCCCCCTCGCTTGGGGCTTCCTTTTAGAAACTTTCAGTCATGGTGGTGGGTGTGCCCCCACCCAGTCCCTGGTGGTGACTGTGAACTTGACCGGGCACTGACATTGCCTGGTCAAAACACAGGCGATTTCCTTCAGAGCACAGACATGGTCACTGTAATTCAGTCCATCTCTTTGTGCCCTTGTTTACTGTCAGTTTTCACCCACACAAATGTTCACTGGGTGAGGGCAGAGCCATCCGTGTTCTTCCCCACCTTGGATAGGGTCTAGCGCTCCATTAGTAAGTGTTAAAGGAATGAAGGAATGGAAATGGGATCCTACTTTTTGCTTCCTCACACAGATTAGTGAGAGCACGACAGAAGTCGGGAGCTAGGAGGGAATTATAAATAGGCTTTTTCTCATCCCTGTGACCTCATAAAGGCTTCCCTGGTAGCTCAGACAGTAAAGAATCCGTCTGCAATGTGGGAGACTGGGTTTGATCTCTGGGTTGGGAAGATCCCTGGGTTGGGAGGAAGGCATGGCAACCCACTCCAGTATTCCTCCCTGGAGAATCCTCATGGACAGATGAGCCTGCAGTCCATGGGGTCACAAAGAGTCGGACATGACTGAGCAACTAAGCACGCTCGTGACCTCATAAAAGGGATTAAAGAAAGAATCCTTTTAAGACAAAGATTTAAAGAGTTAAAAATTGCTCTGAGATACAAAAATTAAAAAGCAGTATTTAAAGAGCATTGGTATGTTTTCCTCAGCTCCCTAAATCACAAATGTTCCTGTTGGGGCAGGATCTGGGGAGAAGAGTGTTCATGTGGTTACATGCAATGGTGAGGCTAGAGGTGGGTAGTTTGCCCAAGTTCACTGCAAGGAGGTAACTTGATTGAAGAGCACTGACTGGCCTAATGTTCATGTTGATCTATTTGCCACTTTGCTCCCAACCTAGGTTCAAATCTTTGTTCCACCACTTGGTAGCAATGGGACCTTAAGACAAGTTACTTTGCTTCCTTGAACTTTCTTTTCTCATCTATAAAATGCAGATAATCATAGTACCTCTGTCATAGGGCTGTGATAAGGATTAAATGAATTAATGCATGGAAAGTCATCACAACATTGTCTATCACATAGTAGATGCTCAGTAAGCATCTACTTTATTTCTGATTTCAAGAATCTAAAAGCGTTGTTAATTATTCTGAGGGAAAAAATGTGATTTGCAGTCACTAGAAAATAAAATATACACATAGTGATGAGGTCAGTTTCAAGAGACTTGTGCTGTCATCAGTGAGTTGAGTTTTCCTCTTCCTACACAGTCTTGGTAATTTTCTTAAAGTTGTATGGTCTCTTTTAAACCATAAGCTCCCACACATTAGAGGCTTTCTTGAAATTCAGCATGGGTGACTTCTGCTTCTCCTCAATGGGCAAACTGAAGAGATTCCCTAGAATTTAACAGCTATATGTCCATATTTTTTTAAATTAAATAAATTAAAAATAAGCCACAGGTTTATAATTATTGCCTGACAACAAAGATTATACTTTGAAATGTAATATACTGATTGTGATCCTTTGCAGCAAAAATCAACTTATGCATAATACATTTTTAGGTCCCCAAATTAGTAAAATGATTTTTGACCTAAAAAGGGATTGTGCATATGTAAATTCTCTCCTATGTTTTCATCCACCTCACCCCATCTCTTCCAAATGTGGCAGACTCTTTTCCCCATGGTGTCAATGTTAGAGGAAATTTTAATTTCTACTCCAGAATCCTTCCTACTTCCTCTGGGATTTGTTCCCCATGACTATAGGCACATAGGCCCATCTCCTTTCTAAAATTCAGCTTCCAGCTGGAGAAACTGAAGTCCCAGGACACGGGGACATGGTGAATCTTTTCTGAGCTCTCCCAGGAATGAGCTATAACCATCTCCCTGTTCGAGGCGCTTCTCAATTATACTCCCAAAACTAAAAAACTGAGTATCTCCTCTGGGAGAGATGTGCCACACATATCTCACTCCCTTCTGCCTGTTAAAAAGACCAAGTCCTGCTGTGGAGCTGAATCCTAGACTTTGTTTTGTTTTAAAATATTTATTTATTTACTTATTTGGCATGCACTGCAGCATGTGGGAATCTCTGATCATCTTTGTGGCAGGTAGGATCTAGTTCCTCAACCAGGGATAGAACCCAGACCCCCTGCAATGGGAATGCAGAGTCTTAGCCACTGGACCACCAGGGAAATCCTTGAATCCTAGACTTTGAATTTCCTGTGTTATCCTGCAGCAGGAGTCCCCATTTTACAGATGAGGAAAGGCAAATGGCATATAGGATTACATTCTATAGGCCATTCCTTCAGATGGATTTTGCTTTGTTTTGTTTTGTTTTGAGAACCTACTCTGTGCCAGGCTCTGCATTAGGCACTGACAATGCAATGATGTCATCTGTGTTTTCTGGAATGAGAGTGGTTTCATCTGTATAATGGGAATAATAATCATGGAATAATAACTTGGCCCTTTTCAAGGGATTGTATGGGGATCAGAAGAGCTAATGGATGTGAAAGTGCCTTATAAAATATTAATGTACTCTATAAAGAAGAATGATCACGTATACCATGAAAGAAGATATTAAAAAAAAAAAAAAGGCTTGGTGTCCTGCACCATTTATTTAATGATAATACAACAATCACCATTTATTAAGCACCAACTACACTCCAGCTGTTTTACACATACCCTCACTAGTTCTCACAACAATCCCACAAGAGTGCTTTATAGTTCCTTGCAGGGGGCAGGGCGTCTTGCCCTGGGTCTCAGGGCAAGTGTGTGCCAGGATTGAGGTCAGCTCACCAGACAGTTTCCCTTTTGTCAGGGATGACTGAAGGTAGAGTGAAGAGGAAGAAGGGGTAGATGCATTTCCCTCTAGGTTACAAGACAAAGATGGGGCCCTGGGGCTCCAGGGAACTTCTCAGAAAGGAGAAAGGAACTAGTAGCCAGAGACAATGACTTAAGGGTTTTGTAAGTTTCTAACCCCCATAACTTCCCTTTATTTGTTCTTCCATTACTCAGGCCTTTGCTTATATGGAGGAGCCCTGAAACCCATCCTTCAGTCTACCCATATTTATTAAACACTGACTCTGGTGCCAGGCTGGCCCAGGGAGATGGGCCTGAGCCGTCTCTTCAGAGGCAGGAGGAAGGGAGGTGTTGAGGAGTCCTGTATGCATCCGCTGTGGTTGAGCAAGGGAACCCCAAAAGACCAAGGGCTTGCAGAGTGGGGAGGGTGACTATAAAGAGGAACGGAAAGCTCACAGTCTCTAGGGCCTTCAGGGAAGAGAAAAAGGGGAACGTGGAGACATGAGTCCAACCTGATCCTGAGCTGGGGTGGACCAAGAGAGGACTGCCGGTCACAGAGCTGAGCTAAGGGCTTGGACTGGGCTGTGTCCTCCCTGGCCCTCCAGGCCCTGAAGTTACTCTTCCTCCTCCCTCCCCCTGCTCCAAGGGGCCCACCCGCATTCTCAGGGAATCATAGGCTAAAAATAAACAGTTGCCACCAGCCTCTGGGCCCAGGGGAATCGGTTCAACAGAAGTCCTGTGTGTAGTGGTTGGGGCTGGGCCAGAGGATGGAAGGATGACAGCTCAAGGTCCTAGGACCCTCCAACCACTGATGCAAATAATCCCCCACCCCCAACCTGGCTATTTGAGGTCCAGACCTTCTAGCCTTCAACTCCGTGACCTTCTACAGCTGAGAATATTTGGATCCCAAGCAATGTCACTATGCCTGCTGGAGAGATAGAACATGTGGCAAAAAATAGCTTCACCCCCTTGCAATATTCCTACCCATAACTGGACACGGCGAGTCTTTATCAGTCCAAAGGCATGCTCCTGCTGGAGCAAAGGTGCTTTTCTGGGAAGGCAGAACCCGTGACTCCTCGCCCTAGAGAGGACTTCTTGGGGCTCTCATTACCAATGGCATTGTTGGAATCCTTTGGATGAGAGGTCAGCCTCAGGGCAGGAGGAGGAGAAGGGGGTGGGTTGAAGTCAACTGGCGGCACACATTTGTCATCTAAGGAACTTTTCTGGGTCTTCTCTGTCCTCTACTCTCCAACAAAATGCAAGTCCACTCCCAAAACATGCTTGATGGATTCACAGAATTTCATTCCAAAGGGATCATTACTTGGACATGGTTCTATAGGAATCCAGAGGCTGGGAGCCCCTCCCTGGCTCTGTATGAACTCTGTATTTGACCATATAGAGTTGAATAGAGTTAGACTATATAGACTGCACCTCTAAGGTCAGGCACCACGGTGCCGCTAATGAAAAGTGAAAGTGTTTGTCACTCGGTCATGTCCGACTCTTTGTGACCCCATAGACTGTAGACCCCCGGGCTCCTCTGTCAATGGAATTCTCCAGGCAAGAATACTTGGATTGCCAGCTATTCCCTGCTCCAGGGGAGCTTCTCCACCCAGGGGTCAAAGCCGGGGTCTCTTGCATTGCAGGGGGATTCTTTACCGTCTGAGCCACCAGTGAAGCCAGGGCCTCTAATAATATGAATAATGATAACACTAGCTACTATGAACCTAGGTACCAAGCACTGTGATCATGACTTTATAGGACTTTGTGTGGGTTATCTCATGAAGTCTTCCCATGTTACAGCTTCATACACATTTTACAGGTGGGGGAAAATGAGCTTACTCT